GAGGACGTTGAACAATAGCAATCTGATGGCTTGCATTTTACATCCTTTAGCGTAATTAGTTATCCATGATAATTTATGCAATAACAGCCATATAGATTCAATCGATGTACCATTTGTACTTAGAAAGAATATATGCAACAAATAAGCAAAAGTAATTTTTAAACATTTGTGTAAAAATAGAATCTGGCAAACAAAGATTACTGCCGTCCTTCAATAGTCTTTCACAATTATAAAATCCCGAAAATATTAAGTAAATGAGGAGGTATGATCAGAGTCATTAGGTGACCATGAAATTGAAAAGAAAATAGTAAAGCTTTTCTTTCCTTTCAAAATTATGTTGATTATACTGATAAATAAAAAGGTTATACAAATTAGACACTTTAATTCTGAAAAGTAAAATTGTGATAACACTATAAACGTTTTAAACAATTTAAATGAATGACTGATTAATCAATGATGAATAATTGATTGAATGTACATTAGCCAAAATGGCTGTTTTACCTGTAGTTTTTGTTCAAATTCGTTATGAGCCAAGCAATTATTCAAATATATAGTTTACCCGCATTAACATCTTTGTCAGTAAAGCCTATGTTCTTAGTAAGGATTGATAACAAGATCTCAGATTGGGGATATTTTAGCCGATTTTTCAGTGTTGCGTGAAATGCCAATAGTTAAAATCTTTAGATCAAGCATAACCTGATATATTTAGGATTTAGATATATACAAATATCATCGTGCAATATGTATTTTTTTAAATGATGTTGTGAAGTTCCTAAAGCAGATACATCACCTGCTCCGATGTTTTCGATGAGTAATCGGTTAAGCAAATAACAATTACTAATAACAATGTAGAAAATAAATGCATGTACAATTTTTTCCATGAGTAATTTTATTTTGCATATTTAATGTTTTAATAAACAATCTAAAATAAGGAATAAAACACGATTTGCAAATAATGACGGAAAAAGTAAAGAACATTTTATCATATTGCAAGGGTTCAATGACACAATGAATCAAATAAATAAAAATTAAAAAAACATGTAAAGCCAACTAGAGCTATGCATACTGTCTTCAGTAATGGAAAAATGTGCCTACAAACTTCAAAATCTAATTTGCAACTTTTCTAAATGGTGCTATTGCTGAAATTCTTTTCTCTATTCGCATACGAATATGTTACAATACACTTAAATTTAATAACACAGATTTTAAACACACCTTTGTGCTATAATTTGCTTACCATAACTATAATGGATCTAGGCATATTTAATGATTTTTAGTGCTGATATATGGCTACGGAAAGAGCTGTTAAACAGTAAACAAAAGTGTTTTGTTTACATAATGTATAGACAGGCCTTTATTGAAGTTGATTAACAGGTACTTGAAATAAGCCAGCTATGATCAATGTGAAAATATTCCTTACCACACAAGGTAAATTGGACATGATGATAAAAAAGATAGAAATCTAAAAATAAAAGGAAAATAATGATGTATTTTCTCTCATTAATATTCTAGTGTATATAGTATAAGTAAGCATTAAGCATTTAAATAAATTACATATGTGTGTAAACATTTTTTGTAGGCGAAGCAATTAAAATATTTAGCTCAATGTGAGTATTATGTTATTCTTGTATACGTACATAATTTTGAAAGATTGTTCAATTTAACTGAAATGAGAGAGATACTTAGTTGGAAATCCAAAAGCATTTATCGAAGAAAAACGTCCTTACAAACAATCCGTTTGAAGTTCTGGATGAGATTGACCTGAAAAGAGTTTTTTTAAACAGTTTTCCTTTGTTCCTTATGTTAAAGCTAAGTTATCCTTTCGATAGGTTTATGAAGTCCATCCTGATATGATTGACCGGTATGAAATAGCTGTGTCATAAATGACAACGAATAAGTTCGAATTGTCGTAGCCATAACGCCGTCCTTTTTTCAGTCGTGAATTATATATCAAAATGTTTCAATACACAATTTGCAAGTGCTTTTTGTCTTAATTCTTAAACAGCAATTTATCCCAGACAGACCCCGATGAAATTTGTAGGTTGAAAGTGTAGACTCGATGGGTTGTTACACAGCACCTGATTTATTGTGATATGAAGATGATAGACCTTTAATTTTCAACTGTTTTTGTATTTCGTAAAGGATGATAATACTAACCATCCACTCACTTCAATATAACTTTATGTTATACGCCTATAGATATATATTTATATATTTCACAATTATATTATAGTTTTTCTCTATTTGATAAACTAAGGTTGTACAGAGTAAACATTATCACTACATAAACTTGGTCTGTAATTTAGTCCAATGTTTGTTCTGTAGAAAATTTTGTATTTCACTTATGCTTCCGTGTCACCATGGCAACATCGCCTGCACTGAGTAAAACTCGTAGACTACAAGGCAGTCTGAGGTATACAAATATAGCTTCCATTAATTGAGAAAGGTTTTTACTTGTCTGTGTCAACTTGGTAAATAACACAACAGATGATATATTGTCGCATAAAGATTGTCAACCTTGCAGATCATTATTTGTTTGTGTGTTGTTGTAAATTGGAGGTTTTCTATACAATTTGCCATTTAAAATTTTTCTAAAACGATTTAGGCAGAAAACATCCTTTGCTCCATTTGTTAGATTTTAAATACGGGTACCAGTATATAATATAGTTAATATAATGAACTACTTAGCAAGTGACTTGTATTATTCATATACCGAAACAATTATTTCTTGTTTCATGGAACTACAGTAAAATTTTAATATTACTAAACATTGAATTCTGACGTGTATATCTAGGTTAGTGAGTTTTATTTCACCTTGTAATTGAACCGTTGGACGTTGTTATAACTAAGATGAGAATTTAATATGTGTTAGGTATAAGTATTAAGGCTTAAACGTCTTGTAATTGTTGCAGAACTTCCGAAATAGCCTTATTTTGATAATACGTAATTAATATCGAGTTAAGCTAAGGCATTACCCTAAAATATGTATTTTGCAAATATCATCATGTGTTTACAAATCCGTTGGTTTATGATTTTGCTCATCGTAGCGCCGATCGGAATTGTTATGAACTTCTGTTCAATGAAAATAGAACTATGTGATAGTAATGCAATATTGTATTGAAATATATTAATAGTAATATCTAAAAGTTGTTTAAGATTATAATAAATGCATTGTGTTTTCAAAAACATCCTTAAATGCAACCAAAAGCTTCTTAACTGTAGGAACCAATTATTCACGGAAACGTCAGATTTCAAACAAACAGACGTACTCTTTTTTAACACGATTGTTGATAAAAAAGTCCCTATTCCCGGTCAACAGGTAAACAGATATTGAAGACGTTCAATGAAAAATTAACTAATCCTGTACAAAAAGCATATACAATTGAAAACAAATTTTTCAGAGAACAATCGAAGGTCTTTTAACCCCAATACTCATATTTTGTTAGGACAGATGTTCAATTCCGGTCTTGAATATCAATTTTGGTGTTTAACTTACATTGATTTCAAAAATATATGGTTTCTATATACTTTGCAAAAAATGAAAAAAAATAAGTAGGTACTTACGGTTTAAAAAAAAAATCACTTCTGGTTTCCTTGGAACCTTACTTCAATATATTAAATAAATATAAAGTTCTAGTAACTTTTACGTGAAAATAATGCCAAAAAATGGCTTCTCCCGGTTTACAAAAGGTCACTTCCGATAAACTTTCATCAAGGTCATACATCTGCAACCCAATGGAAAAAGACCCTATGACTCTACCATGTACCAAAAACAAGTAACAGAAAAATCAAAAATCAAGAACGTTAAAGTTTGACCTTGACATCAATTTCAAGGTCATAAATTAAGGACTTCAAATCAATATGGTTAATGAGTTATATCAACATACAGCTAATTTTAAATCTAAAAGGGGAAAAAACTCCCGTTAAATCTCAACGCGACCTTTCAATCAAAAAGTATGTGTTATGACATGTCACAACTTACAATTTAGTACAAATATTTTGTCGATATCTTATAAGGTTTCTAAGGAGCTTTGACTTACTTAAAAGTATGAGATTTTTTTCACATGCAGTTTTAAATGTGTAAAGAACAGAAACCCTTCCAAAACTGCAGTTAAATAGTGCATCTAGTGCTTACTCAGATTTCATTCTTCAAAGAGATGAGAGGTAATTTTAATTAAGGAACTTTAGAACAAATAAATAAATGAAACACATTAAAAAAATTAGCGGCGAATTGCAAAATATTCAGTGACAAGTATTTCAATCTATTAATTTTTTTACAAGCAGTTTAAATTCAAATCAAGGTATTGAATGGTTGTGATAGTTGTGTCTTTTTTGTAACAACTTTTTAATGCTGCACACGGTGACATTGTTTTAAAACTGATCCTGTGACTTATAGCAGTCTTTATGATTGTATCAACGTTTGAAAGTTAAGACAATTTTAAAGGGTTGCTTGAAGCCAGCATATTATAACTGCAATAACCTTTTCGGCGTTCAGACAATTTATCTATGACTGTTTCAACGTTTTTAGAGTTGGGACAGTTGTAAATTAACTGACACAATTTTCAAATAGTTGTAGCAGTCCTATTGTTACTGTGCCAACTATTAGAAGCAATGTTGCAGTTGATAAAAATGTTTCCGGTATGGACAGTTTTTTTTTACAGTAATGAATGTTCTTCTTCTTTGGACTTTCTTTGTCCTTTGTAACTTTTTTTGATTCGAGCATCACTGATGAGTCTTTTGTACACGAAACGCGCGTCTGGCGTACAAAATGTTTATCCTGGTATTTATGATGCGTTTATCATCAAAGTCCCTTGGTATCTCTTCCCTTTATTTTTAATGCATTTACCATTGAAGCTAGCCAATCCATATATAATAAGTTCAGGATTCAATGTTTTTAACAACCAAGAGTAGTAGATTCCGAGTCAGTTTAAAATAATTTAAACTGATCGATTTATCATAGAAATTACTCAGCCTTGAAACATCTCAATTAAAACTATTGAAACAAAAAAAAACAGTTTGAAAACAATGATTTAATTAGTATAGTAGTACAAAATACACATTTGACAAGAATTGTTAAGAGCATGACATTTAAGAAAGGCAAGACAGATTTAAATTGATACCGTTACAAACGAAGGTAATTGTAATATTTGTATTTGCTAAGTTTTTGGAAGTCGCTAAACGTTCTTATTATTTCTTACAATCTTATGTTTATATCAAATATGTTTTGTTGATCTTTGTGAGGTTGCACATTAACGTGAAATTAAACGGCTTAGAATTAATGTAGTAAAATTGAGTTATTCAACATGCCAATTCATTTTGTTTTTCAAGACATTTCACATTTCCCTATTGTTTTATGAATACACAGAGAAATATTTCGATTTATGTTTTCATATTCAATTGCTGTAACATTTATTGATTAATGATGTACACATATGTGTTTGCTTTTCGGACAATATGATTGGTTTGATGAACATCTTCCTGTCTGGTTTATCAAGTTCAGTTTTCCTGTTTTGTAACTGTTTTTAATATTTATCTACAATATGAAATATCACGTGTATTTTGTTGTGTCAATTTAGACGTTTATTCATATCGAGTGTTTTCCTCAATAAAATGTGTAATTAATTTTGCTTCAAAAATAATATAAACACTGGATACATTTTGTGAGTCCGAAGCAATTTATTTGATTTCCCTTCGACAGAAATGTTCACACCAAAACATTTGAAAGCTGGGATGCGTAAATACGCTGTAAAGTTAGGAGCTATATGAACATTAAATAACCTAAAGAGATTAGTAAAATGCGTCTAAGGTCAAATTTGCCTGAGGGATTTGGAACCTTTGTTTCCAAACAATATCATAATTTATCTGAGACAACGTGGAGCCAAATGACATACATTTACAAAGTATGAAATATTTTATTTGGCAAATGTACAAAAGTGTACAACCACGGCTTGACATAGAATGGGACTGCCGAGAAACATAATTAGCAAGTCCCTAGTATATATATGTAACACTCAAAAACGTGTCCATCTCCCCAAACGTGTCCGATTCCCCAAAACGTGTCCATATGACGTCGCTGAATTAAAAACATGTCTAGTTGCAAAAGGGCGCCGAAACGTGTCATTTTTATAAGCACTCAATCTTGTCCATAATTTCAAATGCCCATTTAATTAATTTAATGTTTGAATATCAAGTAACTATTACATGTCCACCAATATTAAAATTTATTATTAAATTTTTGTTATTGTTCTTCTATTGACGTATATTCCTTTTAATTTATTCATTCATCTATTGTCCAACCTCCAAGCGTGAAAGAAGATTAGAAACATTGTTTATTAGGTCTTCTTCAAATCGACAGTTAAATCCTTGCCAAAGTTAGGCGTCCATTTAGCTGGGCTGGAAGTAAAAGTACGCAGCCATATCCGAAACCATGTGTAGGAAGAGATAGATCTACCTAATGTATTTATTGTTTATATGTTGTCGTCCTGAATATGAATTAAATATTTGTAACTGGACTTTAAGCAATCAACAGTAAAGAGTTAATTTATATGTTGCAAATCAAATTGCAATTATTCTAATTTGAATATAAACAACCGGCGTTGAACAAACTAAATCTAACAAATCTAGGATTTTCTACTTTAAACTCTGTTCCTTTTTTAATTTACATTAATTGAGCCGAAATACTTCATTCAGCATTGATGTCTTTTGAATACGGCTTTAATCTTTTTATAGGATCTAATAGAAACCCGACATATTTTCGTGTCCCCGAGCAATGCGAGAATTGAATTGCCGTAGAAATTATTGGAGTCACTGAGGACATAATAGCGCTAAAAGTTCTGAGACGTTCAAGCGTCTTAAAGTGGACACGTTTTGGCGAATAACAATTATCGGACACGTTTGGGGATGTGAAATTGGACACGTATGGGCGGTTTGGGATTTGAAGGACACGTTTGGGCGAAATGAGTGTTACATATATATAATTAAACCTTATTGTCCATTCCTTATTCCTTATTTCCACATTATTTGTATTCCTTATAATGTCATTTCCTTATCAACATAATATCCTTATTACCATTATTGCTTCCAAAATATATCGGATGCTGGCCCTGGGAAACAGAAGCTCAGGGGATACATAATTCCATTATAAGAAGCATAATATATTTGTAGATGTTGTGTTGTTATTTTCTCCACATGATCGAAGTCTGAAGCCGTGACGAAGGATTTGGATTACAATCGAAAGAAACCATCAATCATTTAAACCTAAAAAATAGAACAAAAAACAGCAGAAAATCGAACAACATGATATAACATATATCCTTATTCGTTACATTCAAAAATTATTTCTCAAAAATATAGTGGTGGGTATCTTTTGAAACAATATTTGTTAATTCATACGGAACCCAATTTTTTAAGTCTTCCCCTCTCTATGCTGCTGCGGGAAAAGAAAAAATGACGTCACAGAAATCAACGTTAAAATAATCAATGTCACTCATAATACATTAATTCCACCAAAGGCAAAAGCGGGACAACTCCCAAAAATTCAGCCAACTTTCCTCCGATAACCGGATTTATCCTTCATAGGAATAAATCTTATTATCTGAGACAACGTGGGGTCAAATGACATACATATATAAAGTAAGAAATATTTTATTTGGCAAATGTACATAATTGTACGGCCACGGCTTGAAAAAGAATGGGACTGCCGTGAAACATAATTGGCAAGTCCCAAAATATATCGGATGCTGGCCCTGGGAAAAAGAAGCTCAGCGGATACATAATTCCATTATAAGAAGCATAATATATTTGTAGATGTTCTGTCGCTATTTTCGCCAAATGGTCGAATTCAGTGGCTATGACGAGGGTAATTGAACATCGAGTTCGACCACTGCCACAAATGCGCTAGCGACACAAAACACCCACCGTGACCGTACTTTTAAATGACCATATTCAGTAAATCAGTCTGTAAATGAAATAAGAAAAAACAATTGCCCAAATCAGATAAGTGAACGCCGTCAGATGTGAACATTCAGGGATTATTATATGATATTTCAGGATATTTTATGTAACCCCCTCCCAATTGTATACATAGCCAAGCTGCAAAGTTGTTCATTCTTGTTGCTGCTATATTCATTACTTGTTGGTTTTTACAATATCTCCAATTGTAACGCGGAAGAATCTGGAACCGCACATTTTTTGTTTGAGGCAGCATTTTTTGTACTTTCAAAATATCAGACTTCAAGATTTCTCTAAAATCAAAGAGTAATATAGACCCTATACTATTACCACCACAATGGATAACTAAAATTTTTGGAGGAGATTCAATTTCGAGTAGAAATATTATTCTTGATACCAGCTCCCCCCATTTCATGCCACCTTTTCCTTGCCACCATACCCTGTATTTTTTTCTATGCAGTCCTAAGCTACAACCATCGTTTGATCGCTTAGCTTCTATAAACGCATTTTTCAAAATCGAAAACCCAAACTGACTTGTGTTCTTGTTGACTTGAAGATGCATCTAGTAAAGTTAGTATTAATTTGTAACAATAGTTAATTAAATATTTAAAAAACTCGTGTACATTTGTATCAAATCAATGTGAAAGTTTTTTAAGAGAAAAACAATATCAACTTTTTTTATACTTTGAACTCATTAACGAATGTAACCCTTAAATGCATTTGACTTCCAGCGACCTAGTCTTTTTATCTCTTCCTTATAGGTTCCTTTTTCAAAGTGGGTCGAAGCGGCACCGATGCGGAGAGAATGTGTTCGAAATGAAACTGAATCCGTTATGCCTTCATGTATTAAAACCTTACTTAGAACACATGAAAACTGGTACCTTGTCACTGGCCTTCCTCCAAAGTGACAGAATAAGGAGCCCTTTATCCTCGGTCTTTGCATTAAGTAATTTTTTAACCAATAAATTGGACAATCTTTTAATTTAGTTTCTGTTATTTCTATACATGTTCCATGACCATATTGATCCGTTTTTGAGAATGGGATAACAATTTTAGCAATTTCAACGTGATCTCTCTTTGACAGCGTTACGTTCCCAATTGCTATTACTTGGTGCGCCTGCCACTTTTTACTGCGTAATATCTCACCTATCATCAAACAAAAACCCATGATAAGCCAACGAAAAAGCAGATGAAAACAAATCTGCTTCAAATTTTGAAGAACAAACGTTTGTTAATTTGTCAATGATGCGTACTAATAGTTTCTTTGTAATTGGAAACCTTGTATCTATAGATTTGTTTATACGCTTTAAACCCTCAAGCATTTTTTTAAACCAAGATTTTTTTTTGAAAACCCAGAATGTTCCATTGACTTACAACGAAAATTTATTGCAGACAGATAACAGTTAACTGTCACATAAGCCCTGTTGTTGAGTGACATATAAGCAATAAATATAGTTATATGCGATAAAACTGGTGGCCAAATGATATCATAATTATACAATTTACGGAACGTTTTGAAAGCCAATAAACCTGTACAATATGTCTCTTTAGTGTTCACTGATATTGAAGAATCCACTAATTTGTTAATTTCAACATCGATATCAGTCTCAGAAAATCTTGTGGTATTGTTGTTGGTAATGGATGTGCCACTGGATCTATGCTTCTGAATCTTTCCCACTGTTTACGAGAGATTGCATCTGCTATGCAGTTGAGCCGTCCTTCGATATTAAATTGCATATTATACACCATTGTTTGCAATACGAGCGGTCGAACCAACTGCATAACTCGTATCGATTTTGAAGACTTTTAATTTAAAATAGCAGTCAAAGAACAGTTATTTGTGTGAAACATAATTTGTTTGTCTCTCAATTCGAATGTAAATAAATATATGGCCAATAGCATTGGTGCAAGTTCTAAAAAAGTCATATCTTTCATTATTTCTGTTTCGTGCCACTCAACGGGCCAATCGAAATATGCCCATTGTCCAGCAAAGTATACTCCACATCCAAGTTTGGAATTTCTTGTAATATCAGTGTACAAATTTAACTGTTCGTTTGTCAACCAGATATTTTTACCAAATTTACAACTTCCATTAAATAAATCTAGAATTGTTAACCTCAATTATGTATATCCTCTTTCATGCTAACAGAAACTCGAATAAAATAATCTGGTTTAACTACTCAA